TGGCATCCTGTCTGCACACCCTCTGCTATTTGACCTCATTTGTTCTGATTTTGGCCTCGCCTTGGAGCTGACAGCTGAAGAGACCCCGTTCCACCCTGCATTCTAAAATGGAATCTTTTTTGAGATTGTCTCTGACAAAACAAAGCAGGAGGAGAAAAAAATCGCTTGGAAGAATAGACTGCTGGAGAGTCTCAGGTGTTTTTAGGCTTTTCTGGTTTAGGAGCATGAACAGGAGAATGTCAGAAACCCAGTCAACACGTCCCTGTTCTCTTCTCCCTACTACATGGGAACCCTGATACCCACGTCTGTTTCTCCTGGATTGTCCTGGAGCATCTTATGGGTCTTACGTCATACAGCAGCACCTATTCTTGCCTATCACCATTTTCTCTGTTTACTCGGGCAGGTCTATGTAATTCTACGTTGCTGACACCCCCAGAAAGTCCACCCACAGCCTGGATACTTCTAGGGGACCTTTATATTGGAGTAGCTCATGTCCACAGTGAGTCTACCTGTATCCGAGTCAAACAGCAATGTCTGGGGTCGAAGGAATTGATGACTTTGTTGAAGGACTGAAGGAATGGTCCTTGCTGTCACTACTGTCTGTAATAATGCTTGCTGTGGGTTGAATTGTATACTTCAAAAGATACGGGGAAGTTTTTACCACTGGTACCTGTGAATGGAACCTTATTGCAAAATAGAGCCTTAGCAAATGTAACTAAGATATAAGATGAGACTGCACCAGCGTAGAATGGACCATGTATATGAGATGTGCGTATGTGCACACATGCATGTGACTGTGGAGGCCAGAGGAGGAGGATGGACATCGTGTTTTGTTACTTTCTGCCTTATTCCACTGAGGCAGCATCTCTTGCTGAACCTGGAGGTAGGCCGGCTGACAATTGGCTGTCCCTAGGAATCCTTTTGATCTCTGTCCTCACAGAACTGGGATTACCATCATGGCTTATCTTCTACTTAGACATCGGGGATTCAAACTCAGGTCTTCACCACCCCCAAAGGGTAGATCCTTAACACAATTGCCATCGTTCTGAGAAAAGAAGCACTACAGACAGATGTACAAGAGAATGTCCATGGCGGTGGAGGCAGAGATTGGAATGAAATGTTTCAAAACATTTCAGGTGGGCAACAAGGATTTGCGCAGTAAGCAGGGCCAGAAGCAAGCACAGGGCAGAGCCTCTCTACAGAGCTCACAGTGGCAACCAGCCCTACTGCCATCAGGATTTGCACTTCTGACATCTGGAATGACAGGATGAGAAATTCCTGCTGTTTTTAAGTGCCCAGGCTTGTGGCTGTCTGTTATAGTAGCTCCAGGAAACTGACTGCTCTTGCTGGGAATGCCAGACCTGTCAGCCACTGCCTGGCTGGTGTCCCCAGGGGACCCACTATCATTACAGAGAAGTAGTCACTCTGCCTGTATTGGTCACTTACACCTTTGATCTAGGCACAAAACTGTGAAGACTGGATCCAGGTGACACCTTGGCCTTGGGCATATGGACATATTGATGCTGTCCCTCACAAAGACTTTGGGATGGACCTTTGACCATTGTTGGCATGGCTACTTCAAGGGCACATCCTGGAAAAGTATCATAGGCAAGGCCAAACAAGAGCAGAGGCTGGGGTGGGGTCCTGACTGGCCAACTAATTTGCAGGTGGCAGGTACTAGTCTTGACTCAGGAATCATTTCCCCAAATCTCCTCAGTTAAATACTGTAAAGGCTCAAGGCCAGTTGAACATAGAGCCAGTGAGCTCTTCCATTCTAAAGGCAGTGACCTGAAGCATCCCCCAGCAGCAGCCACACAGGGACTTTGAGGGAACCCCTCAACTAGCCCTTTGCAGGTGATGCTCTGGGTGGGACTCACCTAACAGAAAATTCCACTTGGCAAGCTTAGGACAGAGCAGGGCTAGGAGGTGTAGAAGACATTAAGATTTTGGCAATACTGGTGCTAGATCTCAAAGGTATTTTTCTCAATCTTTTTTTCTTGTCCTGAGTATCCTCTACTCCCAAGTCAATGAAATCCTCCCTTGTCCCACAAGCACGAAGCCCACACGGGTTGCCCAGCAAAGTCTACTATCCATCTTCTGTAGAAACTCTCGTTAGTTCTGGAGCAGCTCTACCGCTGGATGTTTTCCCCGGGTTCCCTATTTATTCTCTCCAACTTTCATTCTCTGAATCAAGCCTCTTGAGAGGAGAAAGAACACTAGATGATACACTAACAAATTGGGGTACCTCTGGTTAAAAAAAAAACACCTTGAATGTCTTGCTTGTCTTTAGAAAAATGCTTCTGTTTGTACAAATATAATCTCTACTTACTCCATTTTGTGGGGGTGCTGGGGAGAGGGTTTGATTTTAGGGCCTTGTACAAACTAGAAAACTGACTAATTCTTTGTTATATCCCGAGGCTCTTTTTACTTTTCACGTTGAGTCAGGGTCTTATGACTCACCCAGGCCACTCTTGGCCCCTCTCTATAGCCCAGTCAGGCCTTCAACTTTGAATTCTCCTGCCTCAGACTCCCATGTAGCTGAGCTTCCAGGTTTGCACCACCAGGCCTGGCTGTTGCCCATCTCTTAGCTGTGAAGAACAACTTGCCTTGATCCATAACACTGGACTTTCACTTCAGTCTGCCACTCAACAGCAGGCCTTTAGCTCCACCCATCAGCCGTCCTGCCGCCCCAGCCCTCTGCCTGACCTGTCCTTTGATGATGTTCTTGGAAACTGCTCACTCTCACCTGGGAGAGGAAGTTGGGAGTACTCCCTTAGTCCACAGTTCAGCTTGCCTGTTGTCTGCAGTGAGTTAGCAGAGGGCTCTAAGTGTCCTGCTTCCTTCCTCCTCAGGGGGATGACTTGGCACCAAGGAGCCTTCTCTACACTGAAGGCTGCTTTGTCCCTTTCTCTGAGTATCTGTGTCCCAAAGGAATGGTAGCAATCTCAGTGTCCTTGGTCAGTTTTCTCTCTGGGGATTCAAGAATTCTTATGTAGATGAGTTACATTTGGCCTGTCTTGGTAGATGACAATACTCCACTGGAGAAGCAGGCCACCTACTCCAACTCTTAGGCTTTGAGACCTGTGGTTTTTCTAGATTGCTTGTTCTTCCCAATTGTGGTCTGAAGCAATTTCAGACTGACATAGTTACATATATAGTAACACACTTATCTAGCCAACATGGTGTGTGTGTGTGTGTGTTTAAAGAACTGAGACTTCCAATTGTCCTCCAAAAGCTTTCAAAGAAATAACAAATGACTTTCTCTTTATAGGTCTTCAGGTCTAACCTTTTGCAGGGCAAATGGGGCTCTGTTCCATCGAGTCACATGATCAATTAGAGCTTCAGGAAATGGGCCAGTGAGATGCCTCAGTAGGTGAGGATTCTTGCCACCAAGCCTGACAAACTGATCCTTAGGACCCACAAGGTAGAAGATGAAAACTCCCACAGGTTGTCCTCTTCTGTGGCATGTGTCTGCCCAAACACACTATATGCACATACAAAAGAAGTAAATACTTTGAAAGGAAAAATCATTTTTTTAAAAAGTCTGCCATATATTCTGTTCATAAAGAGTCCTGCTAATAGGCAGAGAGAGCTGGTGGGGTTTGAACTCTGAAAGCAGAAAGGTCCTTTGAATCCAGTTTAGAGTGGTTTTTTCATCAAGATGAGAAAGAGCAACGTAACCGCTCAACTCCGTGGCCTAACTGTGAACCATGGAGGCTGCCTTTTCCAACAACTGAATCTGCAAAATAAAAGTAACTCATAGAAAAGAAATACAAGAGAAGCAGGAAAGACTGGCGTTTGTATGTAAATAGTATATACAATCAAATAATCACTTTATATAATCAGATATTTAAAGCTATTAAAGATTATGAAACACAAAGCTTTTCCACATCCTTCCCTATTTTGCTGGTAAGTCCTTGATTAGGAAAAGCTACAATGTTAGCAGTTGTCTTCAAAGTCAGAACACAGAAAAATTACCCACACAAGTTGTTCTCTTGAACCAAAGTTTCTTTGCCTCTAGACCAGTGAGATCAGAAGCAACCATGGGGCCCTCTGACTCCTGTCTGGTTTTTCTCCCTGTCCTATTGAGAAAGACAGCAAGTGGGTTCCTGAGGTGTTCATAGCCAGGGTAGGCTGGGCACAACAGAGAGGTATACTTACCATGCGCCTTAATGGAAGAGGAAGACTGGGCCCAGGCCTTTAAGGCCCGCCTATAGAGGAACCAGAACTCTCCAAGCTAAGTTCTCAGTGGGCTCAGCCTATTGTGACCAATTGGAATCTGGACGGTGGCTTCTGTGACTTAAGCCCCATGTCACTGGTGTGTGGATAAAAGCTTCATGGTCTCCCAAAGGCTCAGTAAACCCCAGGGAACTGGTGCACTTTTGTTGCTGAGAGCTGCTAATTGGTATTTGACTGACGGCTGTTGCTTCTGTAACAGGAAATCAGATCCACATGATCAGAATACAGCATCAACCTGAAGACCACACTCAGCACTGGACGCTGGTGAGAACAGATTGGCATGGTGCCTCTTGGGCTTAATGCCCACACACTAAGACCTATGTGAAGGACCCGAGAAAGACAGGAGGCTGCATGAAGTCCGAAATAGATGATAAAGGAAAAGGCATTGTTCTTTGTGGACGTGGGGGAGCATGTGTTAATGTCTGAAACTGGGATCTCAGGAAAAGCTGGGCTAGAGGAAGAACCTGAGATGGTGAGAATCGAAGCACTGGGATCCGAAGTCCGTAATTACGAATCTCATTTTTTCTTTCGCCTTGAGGCTGTGATGAAGGCTCTTGCTACACAAAAACCTATGTGGCACCCAGGGTATTATATAAGCCCTTGGCAGGAGGGGAGATAGTCCGGTTTGTGCGCTTCAGCCTCCGCAGTCGCAGTAGCCACAGCGCAGTAGCGAGAGCCGCTCAGGTTGATTTAGAACGCGGGTGACAGTGGCCTGGCGCGAGCCTACGGCTGACGACAGCGGCTGATCCCACTCGGTTTCCATGGAGACGGGCAGGAGCCGCGGCGGCGGCGGCGCGGCTGTCAGCGAGCGCGGCGGCGCGCGCGCGGGGGTCTGCAGGAGGCAGGAGCAGGCCGGGGCCCTCGCTGCAGACATGGACTCGCATTGTGAGTGCGCCGCGGAGACGCCCGCCGCAGAGCCGCCGTCGGGGAAGATCAATAAGGCTGCGTTCAAGTTATTCAAGAAGAGGAAATCGGGGGGCACCATGCCCAGCATTTTTGGGGTCAAAAACAAAGGGGATGGGAAGAGCTCGGGGCCGGCGGGGATGGTGAGAAGCAGGACCCACGACGGACTAGCCGAGGTGCTGGTGTTGGAGGGCAGCAAGAAGGAGGAGCCGCCTGGCGGGAGCGATCAGAGCGGGGCCCGGCCGATCCCCGGACCCCCCAAAGCCTCCGGGCCTGGCCTGGGCTCCCTGGCCAGCAGCTCGGTGGCCAAGTCCCACAGCTTCTTCTCCCTGCTGAAAAAGAACGGGCGATCGGAGACCAGCAAGGGAGACCATGCCGAGGCGAGCAAGGCTGGCGGCAAACAAAAGAGGGGGTTGAAAGGGATCTTCAGCAGCATGCGCTGGCACCGGAGGGACAAGCGCGGCAAGGAGGAGGAGGAGAAGGCGGCGCGCGCGGCGGGCCCGGGCAGCTTGGTCCTGCCCGGCTCGCTCACCGCCAGCCTGGAGTGCGTCAAGGAGGAGCCGCCCCGAGCTGTGCGCCGCCCGGACAGCCCCAGCCAGGACGCCCCGCGACACGCAGCAGGTGAGCCCGCAGGGGGAGAGCAGGCGCCCGAGTCCGCCGAGCGCGCCCCGGAGCGGACCTGCCTAGAGGCCGCGAGCCCCACCGGCCCTGGCGATCAAAGCTCCCGGGGAGAGGACGCCGAGGGGCATCGGCGCGCGGAGAAGCCCGGGGCGGCCCTCGAGTCGGGAGCCGATGAGGTCCAGGCGGCCGAGGATGCGTCCAGGACAGGTGACGTTCCGATAAAGACCGTCCCCCTTGTCGACTCCGAAGGTGGCAGCGGCCGGGCGTCTGCCATCCCTGACCCTTCCTCTGTTGATCCACCCTCAGACCCGTCGGCAGATCGTATTTGTTTGATGTTTTCTGACGTGACTTCACTGAAAAGCTTTGACTCTCTTACAGGCTGTGGAGATATTATTGCAGACCCAGAAGAAGAGGCAGGCCCCAGCTGTGACAAGCATGCTCCCGGGCCAGGCAAGCCAGTTCTCTCTAAAAAGAACACCAGCGTGGTGGCCTACCAAGGAGGAGGGGAGGAGATGGCCAGCCCGGATGAGGTGGACGATACCTATCTCCCGGAATTCTGGGACATGTTGTCCCAGACTGAGGACCAAGGGCAAGGAACCCAAGAGGGCGCAGCGAAGGCAGCCACTGCTTCGGACACCAAGTTGGCCCCTGAGACTTCCAGTGATGCCCGGTGTGGGGAAGCAGCCAAGGACGTGTCCTCTGTCAAGCGCAGGAGGCTCCACAGGATTCCCATTGAGTCCCAGCAGAAGGAGGAGCCCAAACACCCGGAGAAGGAGCACCAAGAAGGTGTTCCTAACAACGACGAGGGCTACTGGGACTCCACCACTCCTGGCCCAGAAGAAGAGAGCGTCAGCAACAGCAGTAGCAGCAAGAAGGTGGTCGTCCCCAGGGATAGCAACAGTGGTGATGCTCTCTGCGATCCCTACGTTGAACCTGAAGCAAGCCCAGCTACCCTTCCTGCCACAGAGGACCCACCCTGCTTGTCCCGGCTAAAGCCGGTGTCTCCAGGCACCATCACATGTCCTCTGAGAACACCTGGCAGCTTGCTGAAGGACTCTAAAATCCCTATTAGCATCAAGCATCTCTCCAACCTTCCGTCTAGCCATCCGGTGGTGCACCAGCAACCAGCCAGGAGTGAGGTGCCCAGAACAAAAATCCCTGTTTCCAAAGTGCTGGTCCGCAGGGTCAGCACCCGGGGCTTGGCTGGGACCACCATCAGGGCAGCAGCATGCCATGACAGTGCCAAAAAGTTGTGAGGTCCCCAAGGCCAAGGAGGATGGATGGGCCATATGTTAAGGAATACAACTTTCCCCTGGAATCCACTGAAGGAAGTTGGCTTTCTCCAAGACAGATCATTTAGGACCCACCCTTCTCCATATGGCCTAGAAGTCTTTGTTGGAGACAGGGGGAGGACACCCTGGAAGGGGGATGTTACACCTGGAGTTCAGATAAGTTTCTGAGAATTCTTTTCTAGCACCTTCGTTTTCAACCTTTTCAGAAGATCTGGGATTTCTTTCCTCCTCCTCCTCCTCCTCCTCCTCCTCCTCCTCCTCCTCCTCCTCTTGCTCCTCTTCTTCCTCTTCTTCTCCTCCTCCTCCTTCTCCTCCTTCTCTTCCTCCTCCTCCTTCTCCTCCTCCTCCTCCTTCTCCTCCTCCTCCTTCTCTTCCTCCTCCTCCTTTTTTCCTTAATTCATGGATCACTCAGAAGTCACCTTTCCTTGCCTTTGCAGAAAATAAGATTTAACCAAATCTAACAACAACAAAAATCACACCAGGATATCAGGCTGTTCTAGAGTCAAAAGGGCCTTGAGAAATCACTAAACAACAGGATTCTTGCCTTTCTTTCCAGGAAAGAAAAAAAAAAAAAGAAGGACCTTCGCTTTAACACTGTGTGGAAAACACCTGAAAGCTAAAGCTCCATGTAGCTATGTGACTAGATAGGGGGCTACTGACCAGCAGAAAGCACCCCCCCCCCCAGCTTCCAATCGCCAGATATGCAATTAGGGAAAGCTCTATCTCTACAAAGAAATCAGAGAGGTTGAGTATGGCTGGCTCAGATCATTTGTCTGAGGAGAAATAAAAGGCTCATGAGTAGTTTATGTGGTTTTTTGTTTGTGTATTTCTTTTTTTTGATCCACTCCTCTCTCTTGGTGCAAAGTTCAGGATCAGGGAAAGATCTCACTAAATGCTAATTACACAGTATTTTGACGTTTGTAAACCTCAACCTTCTTATGTATAGCTAATACATATTTTATAGTGTATCTCACACCTAACATTTTTCAACCTGTCAATTATATGGGATTTAAAGTCTGGTCTTAGAGCTGGATACCATTGAGGTTCTTTATGTACTATAGCTTGGCGCAGTGCTGCTTTTGACTTATTAGGGTTCTTTGCACACACACACACACACACACATATATGTATATACATATATACAGTATTGATGCCCTTGAACAGTAGTTTTCCTGGCCTTGGTTAAGAGTTTGCTTCTCAGTCCAAACAAGAAATTTTATCTGGTTTATAAAATATTGGACCCACCATTTCCCCAAAGATATGTCCAAAATGGACGTATCAAGAAATATAGAAAAATACAAGTTTAAAACTATTATTTTGACTTTTGCTATATAAACCTATGTCTGAGACAGGTCTGTTCTCCATAAGATACTGCCAAACCAAGTATGTAAACATGTTACTAAATTACTTTTTGAGAAGTAGTTTGATTGAATATATGCTTTCTAATGCTTCAGCTGACACTTTGAAGCCTTGGCAGGCTGCACTTACAGCTAAGGGGTTCCTAGGGTGCTGTTAGGATCTGCGGATTAAACTGATATCCTTCTGTGGATGCACTTCAGGGCATTTAACTCCAAGGGCCAGAGCTTCTACCAGAGGTGCTGCGGCTCATCAGGAGATGGCACAGGTCCCAGAGAGCCGGCAGGTGTGTGAGTGATAGGAGCATAGTGTAATTCGGGTTCTAGAGAGATGACTAAGAAATGGTCTGCTATTTTGTGTTTTAAGATTTTAGTTATATTTTGTAAAAGAAAAAAGAAGCTAAATATATGAAAAGTTATTTTAATAGTATTAAGGAAGCAAAAATAAGTGGCCGTCAAGGAAAACTTGACAAGGCACAGAGGAGCCTCTTCCTATTTCTGATTTGTAGCAGTTCAGGGGGCTTAGAAGAGGTGGGGCAGAGTTCTGCTGCACACCTGAGTCAGATTGTTGACTTTTGCTATATTGTCTCAGGCCCTTGCTATTATCTCAAAGCAATGCTCTATTTTTTAATTTCCTGTGTCTAAAGATGAGACCCGCCCCATGTGCTCACCACCCTAAGTGTTCTAAACTCCTCATCAGAAACCATACAAGCATGTCAACCGTGCTCAGGAAGTCATCCGCATAAACACTAACAGACAAAAGACATCTCAAAATAGTTGAGATTGGACAATATTTTGAAATTTATTTCTGCCCTTGAGAAAAGACTTTACATTTGATTAATGTTGATAGAAATGTTTAGATCCAAAACGCCTTTGTTTTCTCCTAGAACTGGAGAGGATTTAAACTTTACTTCTAGCAGGAAAACAAAGGAGCTTTTTTTCTTATGCTTTCCCTGTAAAGATTATATTCGCCTCTGCACGACTCCATGGCTGGGTTTGCTCTTGTTCAGTGGAGGAAAGGTAACATTATGAGGAACGGGACCCAGACACTGTCAGAGGAATGGCAGCAGGTTGCTGAAGCACCAGGAGCCACTCCTCCAAGTGTCCTCAGCTTGGGGGCTTATCTCTGCGTTCACTCCTACGTCATTATCTCTTTGTATGTGAAAGAAAATTTTAGCAAGATTTATCTTCATTTCTCCTGGCAATTAATCACTTACAAAAGACCTAAAATGTTTTTTGTTGTTGTTGTTGTTTTTTGGTCTTTTTTTTTTTTTTTTTTTTTTTGGTTTTTCGAGACAGAGTTTCTCTGTGTAGCCCTGGCTGTCCTGGAACTCACTCTGTAGACCAGGCTGGCCTCAAACTCAGAAATCTCCTGCCTCTGCCTCCCAAGTACTGGGATTAAAAATGTGAGCCACCACTGCCCTGTATTATTTACACTTTTTACCACACTTTTTTTTCCCTCTGAATTTTCTCCTTTACCCAGTACATTTAAGAACAGCAGCCATGCCAGTCACGTAAAGGGCTTGGTGGTGAATTAAATGTCCCTAGCCATTAGCAGGTGGGATGGTGGTCAGCCTTCTCCAAACACAGAAAAGGGATCAGAGTTGTTTTCTTGTGCCAAGGGTTACTTTGCCTTATCGGTGTTTGCAAAAAATTTCTAGATTTACACTCAAGTGTTTATGAATGTGTTATTGGATAGCCTTCTGAGGACTGGGCAGGCCTCTCTGCTGTTTTTTTTTTTTTTTTTTTTTTTAGAGAAATGTCAGACATGAGCAAATGATGCATTCTTGGTACGTACAGTCCTAAGGTCCATTGGGTTGGTACTCTTTGGGCAAAGAACTGCCTAACATGAGAGCACAGAAAGCCAAATCAATTGTTGGGCAGGAATTTGTCAGTTTAATAGATCTGCATAAGGCAGCCTGTCTTTAATATCTAACACACACACACCACACACACACACACACACCACACACACACACCACACACACACACACACACACCACACACACACACCATACACACACACACCACACACACACACACACACCACACACACACACACACACCACACACCACACACATACACACACATCACACACACACACACACACTGTAAAGCCAATTTAGTCCTGTTTTAACTCTACTAGCAGTGGACAGAGACCCTTATTATTCTCTCTCTTCCGTTTACTACACCATTTCAAGTCATCACAAGAGGTAATAAGTTTTTATCATTTCACGTAATAGCAATGGAATAACGGTCATCTGGACTTCCTTGAGATGCATTTTGCACGAGAGTTATCTGCCAACTGACGTCCAGCGTAAAGGGCTCCCACACTCATCTCACTTATGTTTGATTCCTTGAAGTCAATATGCAAAGAGCCTTTTGCTGACCCAGTTGTCAAGGTCAAAGGCCCTATCAGATGATAAGGTTTCTCCGACCAAACTTTCTGGAGTTTTTCTTGTTTCCATCTCTCTATTTGGGGAAGCTCTTCACTGAGCGTTCTCTGGAGGTTGACTTGTATGGCTTTATCTCTCTCGTTTTGTTCATCTTAGTTGCTTGCAGCCCTAGGACGGTGAGAGTATGACCCTCTCCGTGGTGTTGACCTTCTGGACCGTGTTAGCATGCTCTGCTCCTTTCTCAATTTCAGCCATTATAAATGTCTGCCTTGCTTTGGGAATGCGAGGGCTTGGCTCACTGTGCTTGGCCTCTGCTGAGACATCAAACGGTCACCCCCACATTGCTTCCCTCATGAGTGCGTAAACATTAACTCAAGAATTTCCAGTTGTCTTCCTCTGTCTCCAGGATAGCCAGTTGGAGGGCTCTGCACAAGAAACTCCAAATACAGCACTACACTTGGCCCCTCCCTTCCCCAGCCACTAAGAAAGGACTCAGTTATTTGTGTAAGCTCAGCCTTAGAAATTTCCCATCTACTACACAAAAATTTTTATGGAATCAACATGGGATGAGCAAAGTCTTAGCAGATGTCTTTTAAATTCTGTGTGGCAGAAGGGAACCGCCCAGGAGCACCCTGGGGTGCTAGTGTGTCCTCAGAGTGGTCACTGATTGTGTCATCTGTCCCTGCTCTTAAGACTTTCAGTGGCCATCAGTTCTAGGGTGAGTCTCTGGAGCCTTCCACTCAGGTGATGGTTCAAAGGAAATAGTGTGTTGCAACAATAGCCACTTAGAAAGGAAGTGATTGCTTCACCTGAAGACAAGAGGAAGCCTTCAAAAAGTGGTTTCGGAATTGAATTAAGGAGAGGAGTTCTCTTTTGAACTAAAACAGGGCAGATTAAAGTGTCACAAAATCTCCAGCTGACAGACAGCCGCTTTTATGATATTGACTTGAAGCCAATTCAGTCCCTGTCTCCAGGACATGTACTGTATCCAATACTTAATAAAAAAAAACAAAACAAAACAAGCGGAATTCGGGGCTTACATGTCGCTGTGTGGCTATTGGATTTTCTCAATAATCATTAAAACCCATCTCACCTTTGTATGCTTATAGTCTGTACGTTGGAGCAGAGTGGAGGTCAATCAAACCATATAAATGCTTTTCGAACTTCTGTATGGCCGTGCTCCTGGGAGTACTACTGAGAGTTACTTCACCC